CACACAAGGAAGATGGCCATCTAATGGTGGAGGTAGAATAAGGAGTGAAGCATCCACTAATCAGTGAATTCCAAGAATTGTCAATCATCACCAAAAGGTAGGAGAAGACAGGGACCTGCATCCTCAAATTCCTCCGAAGGAATCAACAAAGTCAACAACCTGATTTCAGATTCTTAAATATCCAGAACTGTGAAACCACAACTTTCTGTTCTTATAAGCTGCTGTGAATTGGAATTGACTTCATGGCATTGAGCTTGATTTTGAAGCCACTTAATTTCATAGTATTTTGTTATAGTAGCCCTAGGAGACTAATGCACCAGGGTTATAGCTCCATCTCCAAGTGTCCTATCCTTCTAGTAGATAATATTTCAACTCTTAAGTCCTGTATTGTCTGAATATTTCAGTGTGTGGCAAAGAGGATATTGGAAATGATCATGGGAAGAGGGAGAAGGATTAGCATGGTGTCACCCAAGAGTTTTCCTAAAGTGACAATTATTTAGGTGTATTTTAAGGTGACCAGATGTCCCGCTTTTGGTGGGACAGTCCCAATTTTTGGCGTTTTAAAAAAAATCCTGATTTTTGGAAAGAATGCATGACAAGCTAGGGAATGGTCTATTTGGTCCATATAGACCAAATTTTTAATCAAGAACCCACCCACCCCGCCACAGCCCCCCGGTCAACGGTGTCCCGCTTTAAATCTAGTCACCTTAGTGTATTTACTACAGTTGAGCTAGTATTTCTCACAGATTGCACACATCAAGTATTAATCTATATCCCAAAGAGAGTTTCCTGTTAACCAAACTCGCTAGGGTAAATGTATAAACCATAACGCCAGTATATAATGTACAATGAGAAATAGTACTGTCTAGTTCAGAGGCCAGACAACTATAGTCTGACGGACGAAACCAACCCATTAACTGTTTTGCAGAAAATATTTTCATGCAATACTGCCTTGAATCTCTTTATGCATGGTCTTTAACGGCTTTTCATGCTGTGACCGGAGTTGAGGAACTGAGACCCAAACCTTCTGGCTCCCAAAGCCTAAAATACTTCGTTTCTGACCCTTTCTGGAATGTGTTGGCCAGTCCCTAATAACAGTGTATAATCTTTCATGATCAATGCAACTGCCCAATGAACGAGAAGGCCCGCAAAAGAGGCTTGCTGTATCACGAAGCTGGTTCCAGCTCTGCGAGGTATTACATTCACGGTGAAGCATACAAAACCACAAATCCCGTTTCTTAAAGACTCTTACATTGTAATCCCCTAACAACATCATACATCTTTTCCCTTTTTATCACTTAAAATCTCTCACTATTTGCATTCCTAACTTCTAATTCCCCACCCCAAATTATCCTTTTCTACTCAATAGAATCTAACAATAATCCTAGGACACAAAGCCTAGGACCAAGGCCCGTGAATCGTCTTATTTAGCTGACGCTGCTATCACAGAAATACCAACTGTTGTCAGGTGCCGTTGAGCCAGTTCCAACCTGTAGCAACCCTGTGCACAACACTGGCCTGGCATGCTCCTTCCGCAAAAGTGTTCTTCTGCTGGAGCCGACTACTTGTCGCAGCCACCAGATAAATCCATCTTCCTCTTTTTCTCTCCTTTCTCCTTTACCAAGCATGAATTCCTTCTCCAGGGACTGGTCTCTCCTGACAACATGTT